CAGCAGCAATGAGGAAAAAACAAACCCTGAAACTGTCAAACCGCTCCCTTTCCTGGAATGAAGAAAAGCTTGTAAATGACTCAGCTGATCTCAAAGACAATGAGCTTTGAATGAACTTGGAACTTTGTCCAGTTATTANCTTGTAATGGAACACGGTCAACTCATTCCCAGCGCCGACATCCGACTTCTGCAGTAAATGAATGCAGCGTTATCGCAGTGTTGGCATAGGTCAGTCAGTCGCTCTACCACTTTGGTCAAAGCCAGGTAAAGCAGCTTTGATTGTTTTGTTTTCACAAAACAAAAGGGAATGGGATCAATTCTGAAATATGGTAAAGAAAGACATGAATGTTTTGTCATGAAAAATTGACAAACCATTCTTATTTTATTTTGACTTTAAAGAAACAGTTTGAGGAATATATATACACATATATATATATATATATATATGTATATTTATATATATATATTTTTGTAAAGAGTTAGATGAAAAGAATGAAACCAGTCACTAACACTAAATATAGAGCCAGTTGGTGATTAGCTTAGCATAAGACATTTTTAATATGTATGTGAAACAGTAAGCATATTGTTTATTTAAGTTGTGGTTTAAGTTTGAGTTAAATGGTATTATCAGTTGTTTACTGTGTTTAACCAGGATCTGAGTAGAATTTTAGAGGCAACACGATTGCATAAACAATCAATGGAAAGACATGATTTTGATGTGAATTTGCTCAGGGCAGCGCAACGTGAGTTAGAAATAATAACAATAATATTTATGGATCTATATCCGAAACGTACAGAGACCTCACTTCGCTTCCTGTCTGGACTCTCCTGTAGGACAAGCGACTGCAGCATTTTCTTGTAGTTTTGTCATCACCATAAAACAACCTAATTTCTACATTCTCGTTTATGTACAGATTTAAGAAATTAGATATTATGTATAAATGTATCTTACTTTGTAAAATTCTTCCACGTAAGATCCCGGAGGCCGGTAACTAGTAGATGTCCTGCTTCATTAATAATGCCTTGAACATAATCTAGAATATTCTGAATCCGCCCCTGGCCAAAATAAAAAGACAACATTATTTGATTATTCCGTGTATTTTTTATTTATATGTCACAGCTTCATTAGAAGTTTATCTCTGCTCTAATTAGCTGCAGCATAAGCTTTACCCTTAAGGCTGTAAGACCAGAGGCATACCAACGAATGTGGTTCCTACATTTTAATACGCCGGAAGCACTCGTTTTAAAAGAATGTTTTATTTTGTTTGTTTCAAATTGATCAACTTTTTTCTGGAGTCTCAAGACTCCAAGTAACTCAAGTGAAACAGAGAAAGGACAAAAACTCTGATAATTCAACTAAATTTAATGCTGATTTGCTGAAAAAGAGCTAGAAACAACATTACAGAGAGTATACATGCCGCAGAGACGAACCTGCAGCTTTCTGATGTGTTCATCCATGTGATAGAAACAAAATATTATGGCAGCAAAAATGATAACATGTCTGACATCTCCTGCTGTTTCCAAACATCAAAACTGTTAAGGTGAGATGAAGTAGATGTGGGACTTTAGCATCATGCAGACACAACAGAGAGGCTATTGCAGCGTCTGATGAAAAACAGATAGATTGTACTGTATTTCAGCCTGTGGCTAAGATCCCACAGGGCAGGGAGAATGAAGTGCTCCCCAAAAATGAGCTCGACAACCCAGCAAATAGGACACAGCAGCTTCCCTGTGTGCTCCTCGGGCCAAACATTATACTGTACATTAGATCCATCTCAGTGTTCCTGTGTAAAGAGCTGCTGCTGCAGCCCGTAGGCACGCTCTCTCCAGCGTCTTCAGTCAGGTTTGGTGGCAGGGACGACGTGGCTGCATGTACGGGATAAATGACGACATATCTTTGTGTCATCTGGACATTTTGTCATATTACAGAATTTGCATATTTATGTTTCCCTCTCTGTCTCTTCAATTCTTTTTTCTTCCCAGCCCACGCTTCTTTTGCCTGGTTTTATTTTATGTGTTTCCAACATGTTGTCCCTTGTTTGATTCATAATTTGTGGAGAGCATTGCATTTTTTTATGCATGAAATGTAGTATATAAATAATGTTTTATTATTAATTTATTTAATCTGCTTCAATATAGCATCTTAGCTAATGTTTTCCTGATGGAGTATGTTTTTGTAATGAGATAATCCTGGTGAAAACTTGTGCACTGATGAACTGGATGCATGACGCAGGAGTAAAACACTTGTCCTCTATTTAAATTACTCATGCTTCAGTTATTGGTTGTGCATTCTAGCTAAAATATGTGGCTTTGGTCATTGATAGGAAGCCAGTGAGGGATCATGTTCTTGTTGCTGCATTGTGAACTCCTACTGGATGGTGGATTAGGTCTGGGGCGGGTGGTAGCATGAACCTCACTTGCATTTTGTGTATTGTTTACCTGCTTTGCCTGATTATCTTTGTAAGAACTGTGGGTCAGAATGAGCTGTTTAATGACAGATGCCCACACAATTACAGCAATGGCTCTATGCTAGCAGATGAATATGTCATTCTGTTGGTTGTACAGACATTCATGTGAATGATTCTTAACGAGGATGCTTTTGATTCTTTTGATCACCTTAGTGTGTTGTGGGTGTACAACCAAGTTCAGATATTGGCAGAAAAAAATAAGTTGTCTTTGAAAACTGATATGTTCAGTATCAACATATTTGTGACTTGTGAAAAATGTAAATTAGTAAAATGTAAGCTAATCTGGTCCCAATTTTGTTTCCTTCCTCAAGCCATGACCATTATTATAGTAACCATTGCAATGAAAGTAGGCACGCATCTTCCAGTACAGTCCACTTAACCATATCATTGTAACCATGACAGCCAAGGTCTGGTACGCCTGCTGCTGTAGGGGTGGTATTTCAGGTGACACTCCTATGGGTCGTATCAGAGGGTTGGAAAAAACGACCTATATGGTTGTTCAGGTTGGAGGACTAGTTGTTACAATAACAGATAACAGTGCCACTTGATGTTCCTTCCTTCTTTCATTCCATCCTCCACACCTCTGTGACTAGACATTAAATAAATGTACATACCTTCTTCCTTTCCTTCTCTCCCTCCCACCTTTGCCTGTTGGCTTCCTCCCTTCCAGTCACCTACATTGTTACTGTATGTGTGTGTGTGTGTGTGTGTGTGTGTGT